ATTCAATCCCTCAAAAATGGGCAATTGGAAATTGCAATTTATTGAATATTAAACACGTTTTTGTTTTTTAGAATTTATAGCCAAGTCTTCCAGGATGATCAAGATGAATTTGCCGAGAATCGACTGTCTCCATCACACTCTTCGTCATCCAGCACCAGTCGAATGAATACATGCTGGTGTCTATTTGTACTTGCCAAATGTACGTAACCAATCAGTCACTTCTGTGCTGTAATGCTCTCTATTTGTCACCATCATGTTGATCAATAACTAAAACATATTGCATCACAAAATTTGTGTCACTCCGCTGACCAATGTTAACACATCACATACTAAAAGCATTCTCAGATTGCCGATACAAATGGTATATAAAGACATCAACAGGTGATTGATGTGTTAATGGATTGGATTTGGTCGTGAATGTAATCTGGATTATAGGATGTCTTATCAAAGCCATCTGTTTTGATGTACTGGTATACATTGCAAATGATAGCTATTGTTAGCCAAGGGATTGAGGAAGAGTATATGATGCATTAAATTTAGTACTGACAGAATTGTCTTCCATTGTTGCACATTGTCTTCAACCCTTTGAATGCCAGTCAGTTTTTGTCATTACTCACAAATTCTAAACCCACACAACATATTTTGTGGTCGAAAACAATTTTGTTTATCTGGATCAAAAATTATTAACAAATTATAGAAAAGTACATAAATACGGGGAAAATGATAGCCCCCAAAGGGTTAATAAACTGAACAATACTTTGTGAAATTGACGAACCCTCCGTGCTAAAAAATAAAAATTGATTATTCATGTATGTCTATCGCACATTTCACAATTATATGCATTTTTTTTTTCACCCTACAGCTTTAATGTTAGAGAATTGCAATGAGTTGGTGTTACCATTTCAATTACTGTTATGCTGTATAGACCATGCTGTCAGAGTGTCTCCAACGTTTCTACTAAAGCCTCCATTTGGTGAGTTGATAGCCTTGTGGGAACAACTGATAGTCAGTGTAATTTCATGATATCGGTAAACACATTAATAGCTGTGACCTGTGAGGTTATCACCTGATATTACTTGTTCATAAATCTGTTTGATGTGAATGACGTCATAACAGCTGTATTTTCATTTAAGTGACAGTACATGGATAATAATACGCCCTAAGTATGCCAGAATGTTTAATACTTGAACAAAAAATGTTAAGATATTGTCATGTCCTAAAACTCTGAGTTTTCACCTGCTAATTTATGCTAATCAGACACAATTTAATTGGGCTATATCTACTTTTATGTTGTTGTCATAGTTACAAGGTCTCGAAGTCACTAACTGTAAAATGACCATTTTATCAACTTCTATCCATGCAAACTATCTATCAGACAGTATGCTAAGAGTCTGGGCCGTTCCATTATGTATTCATCTGAAATATCAGCGTGATTAAAGATGTACTGTTTATAAATAGAATAAACAAGATGTTCATTCATAATTGAAGGAAAAATTGAACATAGATCTCAAGTTATCACTATAGATGAAGCCTGCACCACATGGCTGTATACTCCCATGATGCTTCTCACTTAATGTAGTATTTGATTGACCTTTTCTTAATATTTTGGTAGATACTGCGCAGAGTAATCATTATGCAACGTCTGTTGTAACTGAAAACAATAGTAATAGTTTACGTCTGCTGTGTGAGCAATTCAACTGTGATCACAACGATGTGTTAACAGTACTCAGGGAATATTGGCAGAAGTTCCTGGCTACACTGCCAATGGAAAAAATCTATCAAGGAATAGACGGACTACCTGAGGTACGTATTTGTGTTGGCTGGTTTCACTGCTGATGTGTATGTATGTATGTATGTTGACTGTTTTAATTTAGCTTAAATAGTTGGTAAATAGAATTTATGAAATGAGTGGCAAGGAACAAATTGAAATTTAAAAAAACACAAGTTTGATAGTGAGCTCAGCGAGAAGGCTGTTCTCGAATTGAGCTCTATACATACATAACATGTGTATATATGAAATAGTATGGAAGGAATCAGAAATTGGTGCCCTTCCGGTCAATGGGTGCTGCATTTTGTTTGTTTCACAAATTATGCAAAGCAAAACAACTCATTCATATAAACAAATTATATGTGCACCACCTCAACTCGCACATGCACTATACCCTCAGTTCACGGACTTCTACAATCCAGGGTTACGTCAGTTCTATTTTCAGTAAATCAATAAACTACTACTTGGCTGCACTCAATCGCCAGGCATTGCATGCTGTATATTAAATCTGAATTTGTAAGGTCAGAAAATTTAAACCAAGTTTATCTCATGTACATGTGTATCTATTTCTCAGCTTATAAAAGCTGAGATGTCAAACTCAGCCGTGATGTCAAAATTTTAATCTCCTTGCATTAACCAATCAGATTGCTGGGATTGTTAATACTTATGACATACACAACATTAATAAAATGCATTGTTCGTTTACATGAAATTCGAACATGTTCTTTAAGCGTGAATCAGAAAGATTAGCAGAGAGATGTCTGCCGGTCTGTGGAATGATACAAAGACCTTTCTTTTACACATGAATTTCAGCATTTTTGAAGCTGACCAGGATTATAAATGATAATGTACTTGCTGCATTTATTACATACGGAATCATTAAAATGAGAAATATGTCTAGAGACACCTGGTTTCTTCACAGAAAATTATACAGTAGGGCACCTACTCTGTAATTTTGATAACTGTAAATTTTAATTAGCATAACAATTAACACAATCAAGCAGATTAGACTTGAGTTTGTAAAGACATGGAACCCTTAAACTTGGTACAATTTTAGGATTCTGGTTGCTCCGCTCAGCCAATCACAGCCTGTTTATTTTCGACCAATCAGCTCACATGTTTGTCAACCAATCAGCTTCTTTTCGCCAGCCAATCATAGCCAGCTTGTGCACATGGACTGTAACGTCCCTACCTCTTTTGTTTTCTTTTGTTCAGCAGTTTCATTCATTGTTTTTTATGCGTCACTGCTCAAGCTTTGTATTCTCTTCGCTCGTTATCCCACCACCATCCCCTTCGATCCCCCTCTTTTTTTTGGCTAGCTTCTTCCCACCAGCCTGGGCATTGGATTTCATCCTGACCCCCATTTCAAGGTCGGGCGGCCTCATACAGGTTTTTCCCCCTCCTTCTTTTGGATCCCGAAATCCATTGCTCAGGGGGGCACGTGCTGCCTTGGTGGGTAGAAGTGGGCCCCCTGCCCAATTTTGCAGTTTTTTATGAACTGTATATTTTTTAAACTGTAATTTTATTAGTTTTGTAGTTTGTGTATGCAAGTCGTTTTTTTGCTCAATAAACTTGTCTTTGCCTTTTACTTGTTTACCGTGTGGAGTGTCTTTACAAATGAGTCTAATGAGAGATTACTTGATGAAAATTATTGTATTTGAGCAACGTTTTCAGTTAGAAAATTATTGAGCGTGTTCAGGCTCATCGTCATCATAAGAAGCACACATACAATGATGCAACATTCAGAAACATAGATTGTCACCATTTATTTTTGTTTTCAGTGCGAGTTTTTGAAAAAACAGTACAATGAGTGTTACACATCCCGGGGTGATTTTGATGAAATACTTTTTCTAGAGAGTGACACTCATCTCATTCCTAGTACTAATCCAAGGTAAGTTTTAGTCCTCTTGATAAGAATATCAAATATGGGTTATAGTGAGCGTGTTCCTTATGTTTTCTTTTCCTAATAAAGCTGGGTAAAGATGGCCATGCAGAGTACAATCTGTAAAATTAGTCGTTGACTGAATTTCATCAAGCCACTGTTTATGGCTATTTTAAACTTAAATAGCATTCTTTTCAAGTGTAGACTTGAGTGTAAAAAACAAAAGTGAAATGTATGTACGAGTCATAATTCTCATACCATCGAAAGTTGCAACTCTTACTCTATTAATTGGTGATGAATACATTTTTTATGAACAACAACAGCATTGGATTTATGGAACTTTAATTTAATAAAATATTAATAACATGATATTATATATTTCCATGCTAGCGATGATTGAAACCTGCTGGATTTAAAAACAGTTATTCAAAACAATGACATTTTGACTCGCTCGTTAGGTTGAAATGATGAGTTACCAAAATCACTTTGCATGGCACATTTTACCGAGTTCATTTTTTTGGTAACAATTTGTGCTTCTTTTCGTCCTCAGCTGTCCAAGTCCTCCTGCATCTTCACACAGACATGCAAGTACTGTCAATGCTACACCAATCAGGTATGCCTTTAGATAACCTGTAGATAAAATAATCCACTTTGGAGAATTGTCTCCCAGTGTTTACATTGCTTCAATTGTTAGATCAAAACCTGCAGCATACCGGTATATGTAATTAATTCTATTTAGTAGAAAATAAACAAAAAAGTTATTAAGAAATTTAGAAAAAAAAAAATTGCACTAACATATTTTTGCTTTTTTGGGAAAAATGGTGTTCATTTCATATGGTAGTCTGTATAGAATTGATTGACAGGCCTAACTTTAGAGTGCTAACTTGTCTTGGCTTCTCCTTCTCCTGTAAGTTGAGCTGACATTGTATACATCATCTTTTAATACAGAGCTGCTATGAATACAGTACAAGCATTGCAGTCTATTTTGTGCCATGCAAGTGATATGCCAAGTCCTGCACTTATCAGGTACTTCAATGTAAGTAAAACAAATTATTTATTCCAGTTGGGTCATGCTCTTTTTTATCCAATTTCCTAATAATTAACTGAATGTGATATCCGTAGCCTTGGCCCTCTGCCCCTCATAGCAGTAGATTTACGCATGCAGGATATTATTTTGTTCCTATATATTTTCTATTTTACTCGTTATTGTGAGAACTGCTTGAATTTGTTGATTATAGAAGTCCGTTCTACAACAATGATGCTATAGACACTAGTGGGCCACTGTGCTAATGTTGTCTCTAAATCATCATTTCTAGTTGCCAGAATGAATGATTACAGTATTCGGCTAAAATTTGACTGGACTTTGATATTTATCATTGATTTTCATCACAAGTTTTAAAGCGGGAGTGTCGTCACCTACGCACACGCGGGAATTGAGTCCCAATCGACGATAACAACACACACTAAAAACGCACAGGCTCATGGGTAGACACTTGTTTGTGAACAATGACACGCTATGACCATTGACGCATGCGCAGGTGACTACTCCCTCGCTTTAATATATTTTTACAACGGTGGTAATCAGATATCATTGATATTGACAGTAGTGATGAAGAAGTCTGTACTGAAATAAATGTATTGTTTTTTTTATCCCCCTAGAATTGTCCAGTGAATCCTTCGTCTGAGATAGACAAGAGGAATTTGTGTTTACAGACGAATTTCGTAAATCGGTTTCTGAGTATGACAGGAATGCAGTATCGAGAGATTGCTAAAAAAAGGTGGCAGCTCTCAGTGAGACTTTACTACAGAGTTATGGAAGCCATGCTGAAATCGGTGAGTCTCATTGTGTGTACACATGTGACGCTATTCAGCACAGACTTGTGTGTTATGACGCATAACTAGCCTCTGAGGACTAAATATCCATCCGCCACCATTTTACTCAGCGTTTCTTCCGCGGAACTATATACAAGTATTTTTCTTGTTTAGAACACATTCTCTCCCGATTTTTAGCAAGATTTTATTTTTAATGAGTTGATCAATTAAAATAACGCACAACACTCATCAGAATGTCTTATTTTATTAACATTAAAATGCACGTAAATTAGGAAGTCAAATAAAAAATTTTTCTCATTATTGGCATTGACACTCAGATTGCCGCAAACCAACCGAATAGCGCCACCGGCGTTGACACAGTGTGAAAATAGTTCTGACCATTTTTCCCACAGTTCCACGTGCGGTATGTGTCAGATCGGTTGGTTTGTGGCGATCTGCGTGTCAAAGCGGTGAGTCTGCGATTGATCATGTGATCGTGCATTATGGTGTTCAAGGATACTACAGAATTGTTTATTTCAATCCGACTTGTGCCCACTGTGTTGTTAACGTCAACTCAACCTACGAGCAATGTTGCATACCCACTTTGTACTACATGCAGAATACCTCTCATTGATTATCGTGAACACCAGTAAAAATGATGAAATCAGTTGGGTTTGAATAAATTAGATTTCAGAATTCTGTACAAAACCCAAATCGCTTATGTAAACAGAAGTCAGTGAGAATATTTTCTACAGATCATACAACATGAGAATGTAATTTTATGTACTATTGAATGCTCCCAAAGATGCAGTACCTTGAATACAAATGAATGTATGCATTTCTTGGAACATTTTTATTCAGTTTCACATATTAAATCTTGGGAAGAAAGAAAACTTCTAAATCATCAAATATACTTTTTTACCACAAAAATGTTCTGTTTTATAACAACCGCTTTGTACAACATTCCTTTCATGGTAACTAAACATAACATATTGTGGCTTTATTTCAGGAGGAAGAGAGACTTTCAATGTCTGATTTTAGTACTTTGTTACATAATGATACATTCCACAAGTCCCTATTGGCTGCTGCCATAGAAGTTGTCATGGTTACCTATGGTGGGTCATGTAAGTATTGGCTACAACACTTGTCATCTATTAATCAGTAATTTTAACATTATTCAAATCTGTTCTAAATTTGTTAAAGCGGGGAGGGGGGGGCTTTACCTGCTCATGCGCGAGAATTGAGTTCCAAGCGACGATAACTTCACACGTTAAAAACGCAAAGGCTCATGGGTAGCACTTGTTTGTAAACAATGACAGGCTATGGCCGTCTGCCACATGCGCAGGCAACGTCTCCCTCGCTTCAATGTACTTTGTTATATATTTGTAAATCATTGAATGTTTACTCGGAGGTATTTGTGCAATTCAATGATTGAAGGACGTTTGCAAGAACAACATTTTACTGCAGTCACTGTGACTTTTTTGTCTCAAAGATACCAGCTACAAACTTTTAAACTTTATCTCAGACTTCATACG